ACAGCAGGTTAAGTGTAATGTTTGCTCCCTTCTGGTTGCCACGCATAATTTTGCTTGCTGGTGTTCCTTTGAGGTAATTGTCATACACAGAATTGCCTATTTCCCAATAAATTTCAGCTTCACTGAAGAACTTAATCTTTTCAGGCAGCACGGAACTCACAGTGTCAATAAAATAGGCTCTGTGAAGTGAATTTTTCTTAAGGTTTTTCCATTCACTTTCTTGTGAAAAGTCCTTTAGGTATTTTATTCCTAACAATATTTCCAATGGACTGGATATCATATTTAACAACTTAAGACCATTCAGCAATCTGCAGTACATCTCCAAGTTAACAAAGAAAGCAGTTTTTCAGCAAATACACTCTCACTTGACGTGTCATGATCTCTGTCCTCTACTTCAATCAGCCTACCACAAATTTCACAGCAAAGAAATAGCACTGCTTAAGGTCCAAAATGCCATTCTTCTTAGTATGGAAAAACAACAGTTGACTTTGCTCGTGCTGCTCGATCTTAGTGTAGCGTTTGACACCATAGATCATAATACCTTCTGGATCAGTTAGTGTCTAGCTTTGGGATTACTGGCTGTGCTTTCAAATGGTTTTTCCTTGTATCTTAACAACAGAACCCAATTTGGAGGGTGTCTTTCAGACAGTCTGTCATTACCATAGGGGTGTCTCACAAGGTTCCTGTCTAGGACCGCTTATATTTACAACCCTTACAAGTAAGCTATTTGAGGTGCTTTGAGGTCACCTTCCAGATGTCCACGCATACGCAGATGATACCCAACTGTAACTGTCATTCGAACCAAATTCAGATGTGAATCAGCATGACGCTATTACTGCTATGGAACTATATGTGAAAGCCATATGTAATTGGATTCTGGCTGAAAAACTAAACTTAAATGATGATAATTGGAACTAGACAGCAGTTAGCGAAAGTCAAAGTCAGCCATCTACCTATTGGTAAAATTAGAGTATAGCTCCAACTGATGTTGCAAGGAACTTAGGAACATGGTTCGATATGAACACGAGTCTTCATATTTTAAAGAAACTGTATGAAATGGCTGTGACAGAACTGTGTCCACTATTGTTATTATTTGGTTTCACTACATCTTTAATTGAACACAACATAGTACTGGTAAAGATAACTTATATCATGATGTAAATGACATTCCTAGAAAGAATAAACATGTTTTCACAAGAAACACCTTCTCAATATCTTTTTTCAAAACTTAAATTAACAGTGCTTTTTCTGTAAATTAACTTAAAGTGGTTTAGCCCACTATGGTTCTGAACCCCTCAATTTATAGATAGTTTTACAGTCTTTTATTCATTTTAAATTTTTGTTCTATATTATTCATATTATTTTATTATTTTGTATATTTTTGATGCAGGGCCAAAATTTAAATTTTTCTGTTGCATTTATATCTATATTTATTTTATTATATTTATTTTATCATATGCATATGTAAAATGCGCATTGCAAATGACAAATACTATTATTAAATATTTTTGTCACTCTTAGCTCAAATACCAGGATTTCAAAATGACACAAGGTGGCCATTTCACAGACACAGAGGTGAACAGTCTGGTTATCTACAACTCTCCATCATTTTACCTTTTAACTCCACAACAGCAGCCAAGTCTTTTTGAGATCCTTTCCTCCTACCATCAACATCCATGGCCAGAAATCAGAAGTTTATCAAAGATCGATGTCATTCCAGACAAAACAAGTGGTAACAAAATAGCTCTTGCAAATTGGTTTTGCTTTGAAATTCAGTCCAATTTTAAAGGATATCAAAGAATGGCTTTCTTCTTTCATCTTACACTTCCCTCATGATTGAGCAATGGCACCAATTGTTCACACTTGCAAAGCTCAGAAACAGCTTTTTTTAAAATGAATTTCAGGAGACGTGATTACATTTACCTTTAATTGTATTGATGAGTAAGGCCATGCTGCAGGTTGTGCAATGGCTAGTTTTTGCACCCTTGTATCTTTTATTGTCTGGTCAAGTAAGACTGTAACATTTTTTGTTTGATAAAAGGAAACTCTTTTGTACAATGTATCAATACTTTGGTTAAAACAAATGGTAAACACCACAGCATCCACTGTTGAATTATGGATGATGATGATAACTTTATTTATGTGTCATGGAAAAATAGCAGTCAATAACCACTAAGTAAGGACACCTAAAATTAGTATTAAATATATAAAACCAGAATGTAATATGAATCTAAAAGGTTTATCTAAAATGTAGCTACTTGTATGTGTTACTATATCTATTTACAAAATGAACGATAACAATCCTTTCTAATTATATCTTCGAGGTTTAGTTTTCTTACAGATCCCTGAGAAGATGACAATGATGCTAATGTCCCAAGGTATCCAGGGAGCTTCGCCCACAACACTGGTACAATGTATCTTACAGAGTTCTTGCCATAATTAACGGTGTTGAAGCGTGGGATTTCAAATTCTTTAATTCTAAGATTGTATTTGGATTGATTTTTGACAAATAGATCAGGAATATAAGTTGGGCAAATGTCATACTTCACTTTGCACATTATTGTGGTACATTTGTACATGGTTTGTATGGTACACTTTGTACATTATTATCAGTCTTCTATTTTTAAGGGTTGGTAGATTCGCCCATTTTAACAACTGTTCACATGATGCGTTCCAATCACAATAGATGGCTCTCAAAGCGCATTCTTGAATGTGCCCAAGTTTAAGGCGTCAGTACATTTACAGAAATGCCAAACAGTGCTGCAGTATGTCGTGTGTGGTAGAATTGCTGCTTTGTATAGTGCTAACTTAGCATTTGTTGGTATAAGCTTTCATAGTCTCATAACAACTTCGACTCGTCGGCGGGTCTTTTTACATATTTCACTGATATAACTAGTGAACGATAGACTGCGATAAATATTTAATCCCAGATATTTTATTTCTTGGTAGGGTGTCACAGCAGTTCCAATAATGTTCATATCAATACTTGTTTCTGGTTTGCCTTTTCCTATTAGCATACCACCATAATTGGAAAAGTTTCCTTGTTAAAAAGTTTGCCTCATACCAATCAGTGGCAATAACAGCACTGTCCTGCTGCTTTTGCTGTATAATTTTTACATCCTTATGCATGCAAGGGGGATGTGGATGCATGCAGGAAGTTTGCAAAGAGCTCAAGAAGCTTGAGTCCCTCTCTTTTGTTGCCTGAGACAACTGTTATACTTCTTTCTTGCTTAGCAACCACAGTCCAAGAAAGGAAATGCTACAAGATAATTGAAGAAGGTAAATAAACAAAGTGAAGGTAAAAGTTCAAAGCAAGCAACAAAGATAAAGTTGCACTCAAAAAATATTCTAAACTCAGGTCACAAAGTGACTTTGATGCAGGCTGCAAAGAGTATTTGCCAGAGAACTTTGCGATCGGTGAAAACTTTCCGGCAGCCCATGGGGATACAAGCCTTCTCAAAGCCAATTCCACATTCTAAAATAGTGCCAAGGAAAATTTGACTGACTTATATCGTTAAATGTACATTTTTTGGGGAGCCAAATTTCTATTACATTTAAATAAATGTATATAAGGAAAAATTATAGAATTTGAAAGGCATATTATTTCCTATGGTAGTCAACATTTTGCCGGTTAGGGTTTCGTCAATACAAAGTTATGCAAAATAAGGCTAGTTAAATTTACACAATAGGCTGCTAAGGTTCGATAACTTAAGGTGTTACTCTATTGTTAGTGTTTGTCCTATATACCCATTAATGATCAAGATATTCACTTCATTGCATTTCTAAATTTCAAGAACCTTGAAATAGCCTTTAACTTTAAATAATATGACGAACCTTCTTGAAGCAGATTTCAGCGAGGAAGGGTCCAACAACAGGAGGTTTGAAAATGTTGTCTATGCAAAGTTTATGAAGAGCCTGAGGGAAGCAGCAAATCAGTAGAATGGTTTTCAATTGAGGGTCGTAAAACCAAAACCAAAGTCACCATTTCGCCATTCCCCACACACATAGCATAGTTGATTCATATCCAATTTCACCTTAACTCCAAATATAAACCTCTCTTGACATACAGTGATAGCTCCTTCCTTTATAATTAGCAGGTGGAAGGAGAGCTGCAGTATCTGTCACATATTCTGCAATTTAAAACTGGTGCTGAGGAGGAACCTGTAATGAGGTTTGTGTTACACTTAAGGTTGCAATTTGTGGAAGTTACAACCACTTTTATCTCTACAGCAAATACTTGCATAAACTGCTTGAATCTGCCTCATCCATTTTAGGGATATCCCTTTACTTTCTGAAAACAAATTGTTCAACTTGTATGACCTTGTGTTGTCTAATGCTTGCTTTGGTCACGTGTAACACAAGGAAGAGTAAGGGAGATAATTTTGGTGAAGATAAAGTATTGCATGGTCGTATTTTTCATGATCCATAGGATTCAACATTGCAAAATTCTTGCATCATGTACTTCTTCAATACAGAAAAAAATGGTTTATCACCGTTTATTTACGCATCACCTTCGGTACCAGTTTCTGTCACCTGTGAACTTATTCAATTTACATGTGCATGCACTTGGTACACTTTGAATTTAAACAGCTTCATCACCCTAGAGTGAGCTTCAGTTGCTACCTTAACAGGCTACACAATAAAATTCAAATAAATTTAGGGCAGACAACAGCATTGCACCAAAAAGTCACATGCCTAGTGCTAAATGATACAAGTTAAATGTGAATAGAAAGATTGAAATGTTTGGCCAAAGCATTTAAGCAAAAGAAGCACAGGATACGCCTTTAAAAACATGAAAGCAGCAATTTACTGAATTTAAGAATCAAATGAATATTGCTGGACAATATGTAGGCCTTTGAGGTGCATATCAGTGCCAAAGTTTGAAGATGTCCATGTTGATCGAACTTCATGTTGCAGCTGTTGCCTGCAGTTGTCACTCAGCTGAGCTGATGGGAGTTGAAACATGGACCTCCCTTGATTGCCATCCTATGCACCATCATTTATGAAACCTTCAACACCATAACTACTGATGGCCTCACTTTAAAATTCAATCCCCACAGGAGTTTGCAGTTGACCTGCCACCCACATTCTGACAGGTGATGATCTAACTGTGCGCAATCTGTGCTGTAACCTAGCCCTATTCCACATGTTAAGCTTTTTAGGAATTTTTTGCAGAAAAACATGGTGGAAAACAACCACATGGAGGTCATTGAGCCGATGAACGATTCCTTCATCCTCCATAACATAAAACAATTGATAGTACAAAGCTAGCACTCCTGGAGTCCCTGGTCAGTTTGCACTCTGCTTGGAGGGCCATACGTATTTACTGCTTCCAAGAAACACCTCAAAGTAGTATCTGCATTGTTGATATCTGTGCATTTCAACATCACTGGTAGTCCACTGAAACCATCAATTCCACCCACAATAATGCAGTTCCAACATACAAGTTTATGACTTGTAAGTTGCCAGGTAGATGCAGATTTTTCAGCATGAATTTGTTCACCTTATCTGGCTCAGAGAAAGGGGCTATGGGGGAGAATATATTTCTAGAGCTAAGCAAACCTATATACTACTTAGGGTAACAAATGGACAAGCCTGTTTTTGTGGCTTTGAAAAAGGGCCTGAGGAAGAGAAATGCTGTTATTGTTCACATAACTACAGAGCCCAAATTGAGAAGAGTGTTCCACTAGGGAAGATCACTATAGACAAGAATCTCTGTTCTGTAAAGTAACTGCAAAAACTAGGATTAGCTTACTAAGTCCTCAAAAGTAAGCAATCAACAGAGAGGTTTGACAACCTACAACTACAACATTTCTCATTCCAGCCTACAACTTTATTGCACCGTTCAAAATAATTGAAACTGAATTTTTAGATTATGCTGGTTAAAATTTAGTCTTGATGCAAAGTTTATTGATATGTTCATATATTAGCATTTGAGCAGTTGTGTTTAATTTCAGTTTCATAGAACTACCATTTTGTTTGGAAAAAATAAATGGACAATAGTAAGCAACTGATTTTAACAACAGCCTACAATTACATAATTTGTAGTTAAAATAATTTTGTATTGATTTTTAGACAATACTATTTACTCTTGTTACAAAGTTTGTTAACATGTTATTAAATATCAACATTGAATAAGTTGTATTCAATTCAATTTTAAGCTATTAACTTGTTAAAACATTGTAACCAAAAACCAACAAGAATCATGCAGTCTTTCATTGTCTGGTATGGAAAATAAGCAACAATGATACTGTAACTTAGCTATGGAGTGGAAAGCCACACTTATTCCAAAATCCATCATGGAATGTTATCAAGAGTTGACCAGCTTTGATATTGTAAAGGAAAACATTCTTTCTCCAAGTATACTATAAATTTAGCTCTTCCATTCGACACTCTCCTCTTGAAGTATGACTGTTCCTTCTGGCATTCCTGACAACACAGAGAATAATGCAACAACAGCTCCCATCCTCATCATAATGGGAGCATTCAAAAAAATCTTTACCGATCAGCAGGACTGAAATGCATGGTAAGATTTCCAGATTTACATCACGCAAATCAAGTGAGTCAAATGCCTGAAGGCACAATTCAATCTTCTCACTGACAATGTCTTTTTTGGATTCTCCATCAACAGATTTTTCTTCATCAATTTCTTCCTATTCTTTAGACGACAAGTCATCCCTATCAGCTAAAACTGCCTCTTGAACTGCATCTGTCGAAAGATCATTACTCTAGCCTTTGGCCATCATATTGAAATACGTTTCACTTTGTTGAGCAACCGTTAACATTGCACACCACCGACCCCTGCCACATTTTTAGTCTCCTGTGCCCACCGTGTAGAATAAAAAGTCACCACTCAGAATTAAATAAGCACCACATTTAACGAACTAGGTGCTGAATCTTAAGAATGGGTCACCTCGTATAATGAGTTAACCAGTGCATATAATGAAAAACTACCAGAAATCATGTAAATATAAATATAAAGGCAGGTATGGCATTCCATAAGATGTGGTAAAAAGACCAAATACCTCTAAAAAACTTTTCCCAAAGGTGGTATTAAACTGTGGAGCTCACTTCCTCAAAACATTTGACTATGTTAATCCTTTCTTTCATTTAAAACCAAAGTAAACTAAACATAGCCAAATGAGAGTGGAGATATTGTAGATTTGATTATCCCTTTACGTCTTTTAATGCTTTTGATTTACTTCTAAAATTATTTTAGGTCACTGATCTCCTCAGTGTACATGTTACACAACATAAAAGCAAGTAACAAGAAGAGATGAAAGGTGATTAGAGGCCTGGGAAGAAAAACATGATCAAAATAAGCAAAATGAAGATGTGAACTATGGCCCTGGTCAGTTCTGAAAAGTTTTATTACTGGTAGTTCATGCAGTAAGGTTGCTTTACAGACTATGTTTCTTTGTCTAATCAACCTAATATTACAGATGAACAGTTCTTTGAGGTAAATAGCACCCTGGGGGCAAATGCTTTGTTTAACCCCTGCATGGTCACACAAACACTTTAGGAAATGGGCAAATGTAGTCTTTTAGCGCACAGAACAGCTTTTCCAGAGGTAACACCAAGAGCTACATAACGTGTAAATAGAGGGGTGAGAGGTAAAGCATATGAACTGAAGAAACTTTCAGAAAACAGCTTACATCAGCACAAAGCAAGTAAACATGTTTCAAAGTTAGATTACACATGAACTGATCATTTGCTCAGTAACCAAGGGAGGTGTAATGTTCACACTCTTAAACTAATTAACAACGAGTTGGAGTCCTTCCTAGTCTTTGCCACTAATTCAACACATGTACTCCAGTTTTGGTTCAGTGTCATTTAGATAAAGTTCAAAAATACAGAACCTATCTTTCTCATCCACAAGTTCATTTTCTAAAAGTATTGCTGCATGGTGGATTTCAGCTTTTCCAGATAATAATGCTATTTGTTTTGTTGTCATGTTCCTATTCTCATTTTTTAAAATTGTAATTAGTGTAAGATGCACTGTAATGTAACATACAATGTATGTACACACCGTAACTTTTTTTGAGGGATCTTTTTTCTCTTTATATTTTTATATGTACTTTTTTATACTTATACTATTCTAACAGGCTCCCATTCAATTCAAGCCTCCTACTGAACTTTTTGCACTTTACATTGCTAGACTTACTATGTATATCTAAGTTATTCTCTACAGGCTCCCAATCAATCCAGATTGTCAGCCTGGATAAATGCTGCTAATAAATTAGTAGGGAGCATAAATTTTCACTTTCAACCTGTAAACATTATCAACTCAAAATTGCGTTAATAGAATCATTGTTAAAATGTTAAACTTTTGTTAGATGTGTTTTTTTGTCATTATTAATTATACTATACATGTATGTATTTATCAATCTATTTTATAATAAGGAGCTCAAGGAGGTCAGTTGAAACCACTCTTTGAAGAGGTTTAACTGTTCTCCATGCAGGCCTTTAAACTGTAGCTGCAATGTTTTCACAACATGGCACCAAAGCAAAGAATACTATGAAGAGGTTTAACCGTTCTCCATGCAGGCCTTTAATCTGTAGCTGCAATTTTTTCACCAAAGCAAAGCAGAACTTTCCCATGAATGCCTGTATGTGTTCAACTAACAACAAAAACAAAGAGCAAACATTGTTGTTTTTTTTTTTGCCAGCTGTGAATCAGGAAAGAAGTTTGGAATAATTGAGCAACTTTAAAAAACCCTTTGCCTCAAAGTAATTTTCATGGACAGCTCTTACTGTATTTAAGGAAGAACAATTTGACTTCACGTTTGGTCTATGGTGGGCAGAAAATCTGACAGAAAAAAGGAATCTTTCACAGTTGCAACTGAGGACTATGCCATGTCGCTCCTAACACAAGAACATTATAGTGATACTGGCAGAAGTAAACATTCACACCTGAAGCTTTAAAGGTTCTGTTGACTTATTGGGCCCAAATAGCTATATTGTTTTCTTTCAAGATAGGAGTTCCAAAAGTTTTGAAAATTCTACAATAAAAGAGAGACAAGAGAGACAAGATGGCAGTCGGTCGTGGGTTTACATGGCTCCAGAGTCCCTTGAAGTTTTCTACTTTCCTGTTGCTTATGGTGCCTGTTTTTTTCCTTAACCGGGATGGTTCATCTATGAATCAACTGCCTGCTGTTTTTGTTGGTGTACAATATGCCTACCTTGGATTTAAACCTTCAAGCATCGAAAGAACAACGAGAGCAAACATCCATGGGCAATATCATCTTCCAAGCTGCTTTCCATATGCTTTGACAATACCTGTAATTTCTAACTTTCTAACGTGTCAAATAGTACTAAGTGGTGATGTTGAGGCAAATCTGGGCCCAAAGGAAACCAATGTTCACCAAGAAAGCAAGAAATAAACGCGCAGTGTCAAAGTAAAACCTTGTCACCAACCAACATGTTGTGCCAATATTCTGGATCTTGTGCTCACCAACATGCATAATTTCTATGAGTCAAAACCAGCCGTACTTTTACCACCCTTTAGCCTATCTGACCATAATGCTGTTGCAGTTTGGCCAAAAACTAAAGTATCCACTAGTACCCCAAGCAGGAAAATAGTGATTAAAGGAGACGAAATCAATTGGCACCTGATTGAATTGCAAACATCGTGCGACAAGAAATGCAAGTTTCTGTTCTGCAATTATGACTGGCTACCACATTCTCATGCCAGAGAAATGAGTGGAGATTTAATGGACTTACCTTCCATGGAAGAACTGAAGCACTTAACAAACTTGTGCCGATGTGCTTTGAATTTAAACAATTTTTTGTTCAAATTCTATTGGAAAAAGGTCAACATAATGAGGAAATCCTTCTGAGGGAAGTAATTTGCCTCCAAAGTTATCAAGCTTAAACACACAAACCCAAAGACCTGGTGGTCCGAAGTAAAACGTTTAGGTGGAATGACATCTGCTCCTAACGAACTCCTTGATCAACTTCATATCAACAACACCCAAGATCTGTCACCTGATGACTTTGCAGATTTAATTAACAATAGTTTGATCGAACTAAAGAGAACCTACAATCCACTGGATACCTCAAACATTTCTACTCTTCTTGATGAAATCCGCGAGTACCCAAATCTTAACATCAACTTGACTGACACTGACTCTGTGTTAAAGAGGTTAAAAACCCTCAGCCTGTCTACAGCACTAGGTCTTGATGGCATTGGCAATTGGATCCTGAAAGAATACACTGACGTTCTCGGAGTTCCTATCACCCACCTACTCAATGCCTTATGTAGAACAGAAGCTACCCTGAGCATGGAAACAAGCCGACATAACACCAATTCCCAAGTAGAAACTGGTTTCCAACATTAGCAAGCATTTAAGACCAATTTTGCTTACCCCTGCTTTATCTTAACTGGCTGAGGACTTCATAGTTGAAAAGCACATTACCCCTGATGTTTCGAAGATAATCAATCTATCTCAGTTTGGCGGCATCCCTTGTTCATCCGCAACCCACGAGCTTATCTCGATGGTGCATTCTTGGGCCAAGGCAACCGATGGAACAGGATGCACTGTCAGAGTTGCCCTATTTGATTACCGCAAGACTTTCGACCTCAAAGACCTTCATTTCTAGCAAAGAAGGTCTCTTTCTTATCCATGCCTCTCTTTGTCAAGCGCTAGGTGATCGACTTTCTCATGAACAGACAACAGCTTTTGCTACTCGTGATAAATGATCTTCAACCACCTTAAGTACAACCTTGGAAATACATTGATGATACCAACATTTCTGAAGTCGTGCTTAAAGGCTCCACTACTAACATCCAGACTACAGAAAAAAAAACTTGTGATCTCTTTTTTAAAAACAAACAATTTCCTAAGCTGAAATATCAACTCTGGTCAGCTTGAAGTAGTTACGAATGCTTGAATACTAGGACTAACCATTAGCTATGACATGGCGTGGAATGACCACGTGGCTAATATTATCAAGAACATTTATATTTTGTCGTCCAGTTAAAACATGCCAAAGTCCCTAAACAAGACATTATTACCTTTTATGTGACCTGCCTAAGACCTGTTTTGGAGTGCAGCTATCAGGGTTTCCATTTCGAGCTATCAGCCTACAAATCAGATACCATAGAACAGTTTCAGAAGTGTGTTCTGGCAATCATCTGCCCCAACATCGACTACGTGGACAGCTCGGACCTCAGTGGAATTTTAAAGCTGAGCGACAAGCATTTAAAAGCATGTGATAAACTATTCAATGACATTGTTACTACACCCAGTCATAACCTTGGATATCTTCTACCAGAAAGACACATCCCGAGATACAATCTTGTAACAGACTTGTAGATTTATGAACATCTTTATATCGTCTCCAATTGGAGTTTATAACGAATTCTGATATGTAAATTATGAACTATATTTTCCAATAGACTTAGAGATGTAATGCCCTTTTTATAACAAATATTTAGATCACATGGATTAAATCCAATTTTGTAATTCACCTTTTCAATATTATTCAATTTAAATATTTATTAATTTTATTTAAAATTATTATTTTGTGTACACGCAATTCAGCCCTCCAGCTGCAAGTTGCACTTTTTTTTCAATAAACATAGACACAAGATCCGCTAGTGGAATGTCAACAGATTGACCAATGCTGAGTTTGAACAGATAAACCATCTTTTAATCTTAAGCTCTCCTCAAATTTACCCGCTATTTTTGATTGGGACCTTCTTGAAACCAAAGATACCAGATTCTGTTTTTGAAATTCCTGGCTTTGTGATGCATAGGAAGGACAGACCCGGAGTAAAATGGGGTGGTGGCATTCTAGCTTACGTCAACTTCAGGCTGAAAGAAAACTGCTGCATTAAATTAAAAAGGAGATTGAAAGCTTATGGCTGGATATTTTCCCTTTTAATTAAAAAAGATCGCTTTTAGCAAGTTCTCTATACTGTTAACCTTCTTCAAATGCTGACACTGGTGGCATTCTAGCTTATGTCAACTTCAGGCTGAAAGAAAACTGCCGCATTAAATTAGAAGAAAAGGAGATGGAAAGCTTATGGCTGGATATTTTCCCTTTTAATTAAAAAAGATTGCTTTTAGCTAGTGCTCTATACCGTTAGTCTTCTTCAAATGCTGACACTGATTACAGGATAGTGAAGAACATTGAGAACACTTATCTGCAGAATCGTGAGACCATTATTGCGGGTGATTTTAATTTTAACTACCGGTATTTGGATCAATAGTCATAAGCTGGCCAAAGCTCTGAAGAGCATGGCCCTTAGATAAGTCATTACTTCTGTTACAAGACCTAAAAGTGGCACATGCTTGGATCATTGTTATACAAGTCATCCAGCTGTCATTGCAAATACATCAGTCTCAAATATCAGGCTTGCAGACCACCTTCCTTTGATTATTTAACCTAAATATGTCAAACAAAAAAGAGGTTGCGAGTCATTCCCTTGTTCAAAAATGGCTCTCGTGAAGACACAAGCGACTACTGACAATTTCTGTATTAGCTGTTATTTCGAAGATACTTGAACGACACATTGCAACGTCCCTTTCCACATACCTACATAGCTATGATTTGCTATACAACCTTCAGTCAGCTTTTCAACCAGATCATACCACGGAAATGGCGCTGATTAAATTAACTGATGAACTGCTCTTTACTATGGATAATAATATGGTCACTGGCTTAGCCTTTGTCAATTTTAGAAAGGCCTTCAATATGATAAATCACTGACTTTTACATAAGAAGCTATCTATTTACGAGGCCAATAATTTATCATTGAAGTGGTTTGGGTCATATCTTACCAGAAGGAAACAATATGTGCGAATAAATGGCTGCTGTTCCACCAGTAAACAGTTGTTGCAAGGAGTGCCTCAAGGATTGATCTTAGAACCTATTTTCTTCCTATTGTTCGTGAACGACATGCCTTTAAGTATACATGATTCAACACTAGACGTTTATTCTGATGATACAACTTTAGCAAAAATCTCTGGCTGGGAAAATGTCCCTCATCTGACACAGGCTCTAAATCAAGATCTCATATGTTTAGATGAGTGGTCAGCACGAAACAAGATGTCTATCAACTCTCAGGATACTAAGATACTAAGATACTATGATGATGGTGATACTAAGATACTAGATACTAAGTTCATGCTGCGTTCTGCACGTTTGCAGAACCTTGTCACCTCTAGCACAATAGATGTTAACTTAAATGGAAGACACATTAATAAGTAACTGACTTCAAACTTTTATGGGCAATGTTTGGTTACGATCTTTCATTTAATTGCCAGATCGGGGAGTTATGCAAAAAGTTGGCAAAACGTGGACTACATCACATAGGTCCATATTTAAAACGCAGTCAACAAGACATACAACTCTACAATCATTAAACCTATAATGCTTTACGGCAGTATGATTTGGACTTCTAGCGGTAAAGAAAATCTTTTGAAAGTTCTGCGTCTTCAAAAATGTGCAATGTTCTAGACTAATTCTTGATGCCAAAAGAACAACACCTTCTGTCAGCTTATTTAACTCCCTAAAGTGGATTCCCTTTCATACTGAATCATTTGTAAATTGATGCAAGCTTACAAAAGGCTGAATGGCAATACCCCTGAATATATAAATGATTTACTTATCAGGAACTCTGACACACATAACAGATCAACCCATTTCTGTAATCTTCACTTAAGTTGCCCTCGATGTAAGAGAAGTAAGGAAGCTGGTCAAACGTTTGCTGTGAGAGCAACAAAGGAATGGAACAATCTTAGTGTGGACCTCTAACGGAGTACCAGTGTCAAAAAATTTAAGCGTTCCCTAATAATTTAAATAATCAAATTCTTACACAATTATTCATGTAAATTTTAAATTCCGTTTATAACCACCTTTTATAATCTTATTTTGCGATGTACAATGGCTTATATACTATTTTAATTACTATTAATATTGTTACAACTATTGCTATTAGTTTGTTTTTTTTGAGGACCGTAAGGTTATCAGTTATATTGCTGTCAGATGTTACCCTCATAAAATAAAGACTTACCGACCTACCTACCAAGTAAGTCTGTTTACCAGAAATATAGCTGATCAGGCCATTGTTTGACTTAATATTCCGTAGCATGAGTTGAGTAACAATATTCTGGGATGAGAAGTCCCATGCAATATTCATATTGATTTACATGTCTACATAGCTGCTGTGTCTACATACAGCAGATTGTTCATTCAACTTCCCTGATGTCAATTACCAGAGACATTTTTTTAAACAAAAGTAACAAAAAAGCAACCCGAAGTAAAATATTACAAAGAATGTGATTTTTCATCATTTCAGTTTATGCATGTATCTTTTTTGTGTGTGTAAATGCCATTACCAATCAGTTCCTGCAGCAGCCTAGCTACTTTTAGG